CAGAAAATGTATAGGTTGATGGGGTTTTCTTTCAAAGCGCCAGCGTAAGAGCGCGATTTCCAAACACTGTCAATCCACCTACCATGATACCTTAATTATTTAGCTTTGCAGGGTATATTTTAATTGCATCTTTTAGTTAGGTTTTTATTCTTTTTAATCATATGCAATTGTAAGCACATTGAGAATTCTAAATGCGCAATAAGAACCTTTTTATTATTATTACTATTATTATTATTATTATTATTATTATTATTATTATCATATTTTTTTATTTCTTTTCAGTCAGGTTCTCTCTGCAGTTTTTCCTTGCACTGCAGTGTGGCAGTCAGTTCTTCATAGAACATGACCTTCCTAATTCAAGCCACTCCCAAAATGAAAGGAGAATCCTGATAACTATCTCAAATCACCATTAATACTAGTTGTCTATCCTCAACCATTCAATTGAGAACTTTCATCATGTTTTCCCTAGGGCTTGTCAGGGTGGCCATCTTGAAGTTGTAAAGGTCCTTTTGGATAGAGGTGCAGATGGCTCCCCAAACACTATCACAGGAATTGCTCCTCTCTATGCTGCTTGCCTTAGTGGGAACGTTGAGCTGGTGAGACTCATGGTTCAGACTATGCCGCACACAGTCAATATTCCTAGTAAGATGGACAATTCCACAGCTCTTCATGTGGCAGCAGGTGAAGAGAATGAGGAGATTATTAAGAGCATCCTGCAAGTTCCTAGGTAAGTGGTGATGTTGCATATAGTTTTAGCATACCAGTTGTGTAGGATGTTGGAAGGGCACAGAGCTTTTTAATTGTTCTTCTAGCCGCTAAATACTCGGTTTATTGGTGAGTCAATAAGTGTCTTATTAACCAAGCAAATGGCATGGGCCACCCTGGGAGAATGTTATTGACCCTAGGTCAAGGCAGAGTGCAGATTGGGTGCAGTGAGGTCCATTCAGAAAAGACAAAAGGCACATTACATCATTTTGTCTTTTCCCAGTACTGTCCTGAGTAAGCTTGGATAATAAGAGATTTATTACAGTGTTGGAAATTAACCCTTTCCTGCTCACCAATGCGAGTGTGAAAAGTGCTGGGTGAGTACAAATCATTGATTACTCGCCCGTTTGGTGAGTATGATTTTCATTTTTAGGAAATTATTTAAGCTTATATATTGATTACACCCCTTTATTTTCCTTTTAGGCAAGAATATCTCTAAAAGAAAACTTAACTGCTTAGGTTGTGTATATAACTGTGATGATCAATCATGTCTTCAAAACTTAACTGTGCTAAGCTGGCAGTAATAAGTGAATGAGAATTGAAGATTTGCTTGCTAAGAAATGAATCTCAAGAAGAATTATCTTGGAATAGAAATGCTTTGAAAACAAAAGTGCTTTGGTTGTAGTCATCTTTGGTTTTAAGGTCTTTTAGTATAATTTTTCATTGAAGGAAAAGATGACTGAGTAACATCCTCTTCTTGTGTTCTTCCAGCATACCAAGTCAGTGGTTTTGTGAGTTTTGTGGTTTGTTATTATTGGAAGTGCAAAGTGTACCTGGGCTGTTTGCTAACTTCGGATATATATACAAGGCAAAAACTTATGAAAAGTGATAAAAAATTGTTTTCTCATAAATCACTTTCAACCATGTCAGCCCTGATATCCTTAATGTAGGTATTCTAATTTACTGGTTCATGTTTCTTGTTTGATCCCCAGAGAGGGTGAGGAGTTGGCTCCTTGCAGCAAGATTGACATGACCCTTCGTACATCAAGTGGCATGACTGCTCTCCACCTCGCTGCACAGGGAGGCTTTGTAAAGGTTGTTGAGCAACTTTTAGACTGTCATCACAGGTGGTGAGTGGCTTAAATCTCTTTTTTCTGCTGTAGTGGTCTGCACAAGGGATGTGTCTGTTGGGTGTATAATTTTCACAGGGTTTGGTTAGAATTCAAGAAAGTTGTGATAGACAATGATATAATATGTGATAATAAATTTAGGGTTACATCCATGTAGGAAAGAATGCTTACTTCTCATATAAGAATGTAGAAGATGGATAAATATAATATTAGTACACGAGGAGACATAATTGCTTGGGATATTGTTGACTTAGGGGACAGGAGGTTGCTGTCCTTTAGCTTAGAAGTGTTGGCTTATTGGAGTTGTCTGACATTAGGAAGGTTCTGCGTGGTTAAGGGGGTTGTCTGTTTATTAGTGTACGGGAGGTGTCATTAAATGTGAGATTGATGTCTGGTAGCACTGGTGTCTACATAGAGGAACTGCCTTTAATGCAAGTGTCTTGTTCTGCTTGTGGGTGGTATTTACTTTGGAGAGGCCTGTGCATAATCAAAGGGGACAACATTGAAAGCGCAATGATGTGCCACACACCTGAGGGGGGTACTTGACCCATGTTTGGGTATAGGGGTGCTACTGCAGTTTTGAAATCCTGACCCTGTTTAAAACAAGAATACTCTATAAACCCTACCATGTGTAGGACAACACCAGTATGATCTATTCTGTCCGTACACGCGAGCTTGTTATAATACTGATAAGTGGGAAAATGATTCGAATTAAAGGGTACAGATAACAATAGGGTTCTTGACTTGAAAATGATCCAATGTTGATTGATGACCTTGTAATGGTCGGTTAACATCTCTGGGCTTGTAATGCCATACCCTGTTTGGGACATGTTCTGACTGTGTTTAGGACAGAGGAGAGTAAAATTATATACCCTGTTCAGGACAGTGAGGCCAAAAAACCATACCCTGTCCAGTGGCATGTCCCTGTATAACCCAAATAAGGAGCTACCGCCCTCCCCCCGGGGTCACACAGCACTGGTGTTAGAAACTAGAACGTAGAGAATTCACTCTGACTAAGAAATTAAAGTAATTTGGAGCCCAAGTTTTTCGCTCTGAGCATTAGCCCTAGAAAGAATATGGGGGACCATGTGAAGTAAAGAAAATTCTTTGAGCTTGCTGGGATTCAATTCCAGATACTTAAAGGAGTAGGAATGGTGGCTGTTAATGGGTTGTTTACCTTTCCACTTTTTACAGTGCTGGGCCATGCCAGGCAAACTTGACAATTTCTGCAAATACGAGAAACATCATGGGGCAGACAGCCTTACACAATGCCGTCACAGTTGGTTATAGAGATGTTGTTAGCTTACTCATAAAACATGGTGCAGATGTCAACCTTTCTGCTGGCACGGAAAGTCATCACGGAGAGAATAATACAACTGAATCACAGGAGAATCTTGGTGCTAGCACATCTTCCCCTCTGGAGATTGCCTGTCGTCAGGGTGACTTGGAAATGTTGAAGTTATTGTTAAGTAACGGAGCTGAAGACATTGATCACAAGTGCCTGAATTCTGCCATCTTAGCTGATAATACTGAAATGATCATGATCCTGCTTCAACGAGGTAATGTATTGTGAAAGTACATAGAACTTAAGGAGGCAGTTTCATGTCACATTTTCCACACATTTCTTTGTCAAGCCCAGTTGAAGTCCAGACGAAAGTTTTGAAAGCTGAAAAGTGGATATCTTGCTTGTTGCTGGATACCCAGTAGGCTTGATTTCCGCCACTCTCTCGTGTGTGGTCACTCCTTTCCCGAACAGCGGCTGGTGATCGAGCCTAGATACGCAGTCCAAAAGATTGATTTGTAAAATCTTGTATTGAGTATGCTTGCTTACCCACTGTCAATACCATTGATGCTGTATTAAGTCCTAGGGGGATGTATTTCTTTTCAAGATCTTTTAGTAGGGTGGAGGGTGGGGGCTTATCAGAGAATAGGGGGCTAAATTCAAATCATAAATCAGGATTTCCACAGGGTCATATTTAAATAAATGTGGGAGACTCTTTGGAGCTTATGACTCTAAAGACATGTTAAACTGCCATGAATTTGAAAGAGGGAAAGACCAAAGGGGCACCATATTTTTTTCAATTCAGCACCCATCCATGTGTACATCACTTCCCTATAGTTTTTTGGTGATTTCTCAACTGTCAGTTGAAATTTCAGTCCATATCTCGGGTATTAGTAAATTTTGCAGTTCTCGGATTTTTCAGTTTAAGATGCTCCATTTGTCAGCTATCAGTGAAACCCACTGAGACACTCGTGAAAAGGTGAATCTTTGTTATGCATTCGTTTTCTTGATTGATAGGTGCTCAAGTTGACCAGGAACATAATCTTCACCCATCAAGAACAAGCAACAGTGCTGAAGAGATCTGGAGATTGGAAGCGATACCCATCTCTTTACTCTGGAATAACATGACACTTCCAAAGTTGGAGTATCAGTGGATTTTTCTGGCTGCCAGTACAATTAATCCATATGATGGGATGGTTACTGGGCTACACCCGTCACTTAAAACTGTAACGCGAGTGGATGTTTCATCCAACAAGCTTGTGAAGCTGCCAATTGTGTTATTTCAGATGCCTTCGTTGAAAACTCTAAATGCGTCGGAAAACTCCATTTCTGGCCTTCCCAGTCTTTGGCTTGGAGGCAAAAAAGATTTGGCGCAAAAGAATACTTTAAAAGCTGGAAAGAAACCGTACAGTTCGTGCGAGAACATTCAGGAAAATCTTGCTTTTGAAGAAGGCGAGCAGGATTTCACTTATGCTGAATCAGGCTGGAACTGCCCTCACTTAGAAGACATTGAGTTACACCACAATGACCTAACATCCCTGCCTACTTGTCTGTTTGAATTGCCGATGCTGAAATATCTGAACGTTTCCTACAACGATATACAGAATCTTCCCTTCGAGATGTGGACTGCCCCTGTGTTGAAATCACTTGATCTGAAGGGAAATTTTGTGAGGAAGTTGCCAATTATGAAAGCAAGACAAGGAGGACGTGGAGGAAATGGAAAAACGTCAAGTCTTCCTCGTGCTAAAGTGCTGTCTTTGAGCAAAGACAGCTTGCTAGTAGACTTGAGGTCAGAATAACTATAATAATATTATAGTCGTGTATCTACGGTTCTCTGTACGCATTGCGTGCCTGTGTTTTTAGCACGTTATGTAGCTGTAGTAGAGACTAGCGTAATGAATGCAAAGTCAAACCCAAAATGATGAAGTCTTTCATATACTAGCGACCTTATGAACGCCCTGATTTGTGATGTCCACCTCGGCCATCTAGCTTCAGCTGATAGTACAAATCTCGGCCCTGATAATTCTGAATCTCTCTATCATCATGTTCAACCTCATCCAACAATGTTGTGTGTTATTATATAGCTAGCTCCGTGAGCGGGCAAGATGAATCCTTTGCTGTTATTAGCTACCCGAGCGAACAAGATGGCCATAAATGGTCCATAAGCGCGCAAAAAAAACAAAACAAAACAAAAACCATCCATCTTGCACTCACGCTTGGTCAATAACCCACACGTAATATTGCCACCCTAAAAATCACATACTTGCGCGCGCAAAATTATGTGTAACCAAAGTAACAAGTAATTTGGACACTTCTGTACGCAATATAATTAACAGATAATACGACTTCGTCTTAGTCCATATATATATTTTTTTCATTCAGTTATTTGCAAATTGAACAACATGTTTTCCTATTGCATATACAAATATCTAAGCTGTTATTTGTTCATTCGCTTGTCTGTTTGTATGTATGTTTGTTTATTTACTTGTTTATTTATTTCGTTTTGACAGCCACGTGAATGGAACCTTGGAAAGAAAACCAGTCAAGATGCCAACTGTTGAAGCAAACGGCAAAATAAGTCATCCCCTGAAAATGTATCATCACAGTCAACTGTGGGGAACACGACATGGCGACGAAATAGAAGACTCTGATTCAGAAGAGGAAGACATTGATCCCACAAAAGGATCTTCTCTACAAAAACTTGATTTGTCAGCCAACCAAATAACAAAGATTCCTTTGGGCTTGTCTTGCTTGGCCACCAATCTTGGAACGTTGAATTTATCAAACAATAGCATTTCTGAAGTTCCCTCACTGGCTCTGTTTCCAACTTCACTTGGGACGTTAGATTTGTCGCACAATAACCTGACCGCATTCCATCCCATAGCTGAAAATATCCCGTATGGAAATGGGACAGAGAGTCAGTGTTACAGTGTCACTGAAGGTCAGCGGCCGAGCATGAGGCGGCGAGTTAGTGCAGAGAATGGACTGCAGGTTGGCAAAGCACGACTTTGCCGGCATTCAAAGCACAGGATTCTTGCGCATCTTAAGCGGCTGGACTTGAACAACAACAAGCTTGGAGAAGTTCACTTTGTGCTTCCTCGGAATCGGCCTGCATCGGTTGCGTCTGCCGCAGACACATCTCCAGCGAACGCACGGAGCCCAGGCATTCTGTTTCCCAGCTTACAGTCTTTAAATCTGAGCAGCAATGAGCTGTGGAGTTTACCCAAGGATGTAGGGGTCCTCTCTAAGCTTGGTTCACTGCACGTGAGCAACACTAAAATCACACGCCTACCCGCAGAAGTTGGGCTTCTGTCTGAACTGTGGGACTTGCAGTACCAGGGACTACAGCTACAGGATATCGAACCTAGTGTACTGGAAAGAAAGAAGACCAAAGATATTGTTGGATATCTAAGATCAGTTCTAGAAAGGTGAGGTGTCCACTGACTCTTAACGTATCTTAGCTGGTTTATGCAACCAGCTTCTACTTAGTCAGTCACCATCACAACCTATCTGTTTCGTGACTGGTGTCACGCAACGCTAATCTCGTACACAGATCTCACTCTGTTTGACGCTGAAAAGTTGGATCTCCCTTCCACATGGCCGTGGGAGATCTGGACTCGAGATTAACGCAACACTTCAGGAAGAGAATCTTGCTTATCATTGTCCGTTTCCATTCTATCTATCTTTTGTCATTCTCACTTCCTAATGTGTTCCTTTCATTTATCAAGTACAGTAGTACTGTTCTACAACACCGAACCACTATTTTAAGTCTCTAATTATCTGCGTTATGTTAGGAAGGTTTTATGCACAAGTTATTGTTCGAAACTGTCATAAATACGAAAGATGTACTCTCAATTTACAGAATCTAGCATTGTAATCCGTTCCCCTCTTCGCCATCGTTAGTCATCCTCTCTTTATGGAGGATGCGGGTTTTACTTTCATATAGGTATATTTGGCAGTTCATGTTTCAAACCTATCGCTGTCCTTCAATAAGTGAGTTAAAAAAATCTCACGAAGGGAACCGTTTAGTACTTTCTTTAATTCGTCAGGTCTGAGCCTCACCCAAGCATGAAACTCATGTTTGTCGGAGTTGCAAACATCGGCAAGACGACATTGTTGAACCAGCTGAGACAGGAGGGAACAGGCAGCTACCAGAACTCTCCTCCTGTGGGATGGACAGAGAGAAAGGTCAAGAAAAGGCGGGCTGGATCAATCACCGGTACGTGAACAACTGTAGTATTCGCTGCAAAACTGGCCTTTTCTCGAAGAACGTACCATCCTTGTTCCTTTAGCTTGCGCGAGCAAAAGCACTTCCGGCAAAGTTACCACGTCAGCTTAAAGTTTTGTACATTGTGTGTGAATAGAAACCGTGGGCTCAGACATTCAGCTGCTGATCGAATAAGCGACTCAAGTTTTGTGCCAATTCATGTGCCCTGTCATAATAACGCTTTGTCGTTCTATCTGAACAAAAAAACATGGCCTTATGCGGCAAACAAGCTGTGTTCGTTTTGGGAGTGATCATGTTAGTAGTTCTTAGGTTGAAATGCGTATCCTTACTTAATTACTTCTGATGGTAGAATAGTTATCCGCTATGCCGCGAGCCTACGACAGTCCGAAAACAAAAAAAAATTCAGATTCCTCGAAAAGTTTCGAACCCGATCGGGGACTCTGGATTGTTTTCCCACTGGTTCGCGCTCATGGCATGATGTTTGTTCATCGATGTCCTTGGTGACCGTGAATTCACCGGTTGGTTGAATGTGTACGAAGGTTACTGATTAATCCGATCTAGGCGCGGAACTGTGATTGTGCATTGAGGCCGCTCAGTGGCTGTATGGAGGAGTTAGCAACTCTTGCTTTCAGTGCTGCCCGTTTGCTTTGTTTGCTCGTGGCTTATCATCATTTTACGGGGCTTCACATTTACCAGTATTTATCTCTATTATTTACTTCTAAATGTATGTACGTACTTATTTACTCCTTATTTACATACTCTTTACTCCTTTATTTACTTTATTAGTATGTACTTTAATTTACATATCCTGACTTATTTCCTCCCAACTAATTTTAAACATATCCCACCTTTTTAGGTCGTTCTAAGAAAGCTGAGGTGAACATCTCCACTGTTGGTGTTGATGTATGTGACTGGATCTATCCAAAGAAAACTGATTTTGCCTTTGGGCGGGCAGACAACAGAACAAGCATCAAATTCAGCACCTGGGACTTTGGTGGACAGGTGAGGCTTGGAAGGGGAAGAGAGGGTAGGGAAGGGAGGTTAGGGAAGGGAGGGTAGGGAAGGGGAGGGGTGAGTGCCATTGAACTTAGCAAAGCAAGCAAACTGACATCTGATTATCAGTTTTGCTTTGACGAAGTGGTAACTTTACTAAAATAGTTAAGCGACGCTTTCTTGTGGTATACCATCACGATGGAGTCCTACGAGTCACTTGTATTTTCTTGGTATACACACTCGCCTAAAGGCTGGTGTGTACACCAAGAAATACGGGTGACTCGGGGGATATTCCATAAGGGTTGGATAACTAGTATGTAGCGTGCGTTTCAACAGCTAATTTCGAACACAATAATCACATTTTGTCTTCCAGCGAGAGTATTACGCCACACATCAATGTTTCCTGTCTCATCGCTCTCTGTACATCGCTATGTGGAAAGTCACAGACGGTGAACAAGGCGTGAATGAAATTGAACCATGGCTGCTCAATATCCAGGTTTGTTGTCTTGATTCGTCATGAATGTCCTGTGACTTACCCTGGCTTTCAGTTCTTACCTAACGTCTGGCCTGCGTTTTGGTGTTAATTGTGTGAGAGCAGTTCCAGTTGTAATGGACAAAGAGGATTACATGTCAGCAAGGCTGGGAATGGTTGAGCTGGATTACAGGACGTTCTGTAATTTTTTTGTAGTAATACACACACTTTGTTGATCAATATACATATTATTATACTAATTATTACGCTACGTAAAATTACTACAGACTTTAAGCCAGCAAATGAAGTTCTAAAACATTAAACACCGAAATATACTAAGACATGCGGAAGCCCTCTTAAAACGCTATGCCTATCAAATCTAACAGCAAGCCCTATCCTTGAATCCTAGCTTTAAATTGGGATATTCCGAGCTGTTTGATGTCGAAGTGTTTGCCAACTGAAGAGCATTAGTTTTTGATGACATGCCCGTTCAGAAATTGTCTATGTTTATTTCTACAGGCGCGTGCCCCAGATTCTCCAGTCATTATTGTAGGAACACACTACGACATGCTAGAAGCTGACAAACGATCAGATTACCTCACAAACTTGAGGACCATGATATCAGATAATTACATCGCCACTGAGTTCGGCGGAAGAGTCCAAAACACACGGGAACGAGGCTTGCCCAAGGTGATGGCCATGATCGAGGTCAGCTGTAAGACTGGGTACCACATCCGGGAATTACGACAACTGATCTACAACACGTCATTTGAGATCAAAGAGAAAGGTAGTAAAGGATTCACTTGTGTATAACTAGTATGCGTCCTTTGAAAAAAAAAAACTTTTGGCTGTGGCAGCCGAAACAAAAATAGAGAACGGAGCAACACAAAAAAGAGGCGCGTCGCTCGATGTACGAGAAGAAGTCTTCTCTGAGGATGACTTAACAGAGAAGAGTTTTTCCCTTTAGTCTTGAATTACCTCGTTAGGACAGGGTCAACTTGAATAACTCATAATTAAATTTTGAGCTACACTAATGGATTATAGCTCAGCCAATCAGATTGTTGAATTTGCATTAGTATAGTCGGCCGGTTATACTAGTAGATTTCTGCTCATGAACACTCAACTAAATTAAAACGACTTCCATTTACGCGTATTTTCTGACTTTGCGAACGTAATTTTTCTACCTTGAGATAGGTCTCGACCATGCAACCTCTTACAGCTGTCCATTGACTCGATTTCACGTCTCTCACTCAACAGGAAGTCGCGTGCCTCTGCTGAAAACTCCAATTCCCGCCAGTTACATCGCAGTTGAGGAGGCTGTTAGCGTGATTCGTGAGAGATGTTACCGTGACGACCAGACTCCTGTCCTCAAGTCCGAGCAATTTAGGTATCGCTGTCGTTGAGGTTGTTTTTACGTGCAGGCTTACACTCTTTGCTTTCACAGCTGTAAAGTGATGCAATGATTTTCAACTCCGCACATCGCAATGACTCTCACTTAGCCCCCGTTCACGCTACGCCGGAGGAATTTAAAAACGCAGCAATCACCGGTCATTTTGAAATTGTGTTTGAGGAAAACTCGGGCAGGGAAATCACGTGATTATCGCCGTGACGCTATCGGTTTTGAAAAGCCCCGTTTTCAAAATGTTTTCCGTCCACACGAAAACGAAAAGCCTGCGTCTTCGAATTTCTCCCTCCAATTTGAAGAACATTTTCGAAAAGCTCTGCTTTCAGTGTGGACGGTAGGCCTAATCGCAGAAATAAAGCTGCGTTTTGAAATTTCTCCTAGCCCACTGCTCAGACGTCCTTTGAGTTCGTCACACAATATTCCTTGGGGAGGAGTGCGTGACAAACCATAAGAACGTTTGCGCAGGAGGCTAACTTAGAGCTTATCAGTTACTCAAGTTGACAGGTCCATGTCGAAAAGCTCATTCCTTTGTTGTGTCGTTGTGTTTCTTTGATAGTGCTGCGGTTGAAGCTGAGCTTGCGAGACAGAAGGTCCATTTGAGAGGACCAGAGGAGCTACAACAGGCAACAAGATTCCTACATGACAATGGTACGGAAAATATTACAATGAACAGTAAGCGCACAGGTTTGCATGACCCGACGAAAACATATAAGTCAGATGACGAGGGCTCGAAAGTTATATGAACCTGAATCACAGAGACGGTATATAGAGATTTTTTAGAGGTTTAGTTGGCGTGGTGGCCTAATGCTTAGCTCGCAGGATATCCAGATGGAGAGGTCTGACTCACAATGTAAGGTCTAGAGTTTTTTGTCATTACATTAGCACCTATAAACTTATCTACAATAGTTGATTTAGTTGCCATGAAGCCAATGGAACTTCTAACTTTATCTACCTATCTTCTCCGTTATCGTTCAAATGTTTTTCGCCTTGTATCGCAGGTGTACTGTTGCATTATGACGACCCATTGTTGCGTGACTTGTACTTCTTGGACCCACAGTGGTTGTGTGACATGTTGGCGCACGTTGTCACCGTCAGGGAAGTGAACCCTCACATCAATAATGGTAAGAGGCAATTGTCTGAGCATACGGTTTCAGGCAGGGACATTTGCTTTGCATAGCATAACCCATTTTTCCGGGCACTTCGGGGGAAGGATTTGTCGGGGGCGGGGATCAAATGTAGGTCTAATTTTTTTGAGCACAGAGTTTAATTCTCATCTTTTTACTGTTTTTCAGGTGTAATGAAGCGGTCCGACTTATCTCAAATCTTCCGAAGTGAGCGCTTCCCAGCGAATCTCATGAGCCAATACATCAACCTGTTGAGCAAATTTGAAGTGGCGTTGCCATGGAGTGCGGAGTTCTTACTTGTCCCCTCCCTACTCCCAGACAGTCAGCAAGAGACCAACCAGCCCGTGGCAGCTGGGGTCAGTTCTGCAGTGGCTCAGGCCATGAACACGACTGCTTACACCAAAGGCAAGGTCCTGCGAAGACAGTACGTCATGTCATACGTACCCAGCGGGTTCTGGCCGAGACTGATCACTAGGTAAGCGATAGAAGAGAAACAGTAATAAGCTAAATAAACTAGTGCAGTTTTCATTTGTTAGTAAGATAATTTTACCATTTTCCTAGTTTTTCTCTGATTCCACGTTTGCCGAATTTGGTAATTGGTTTGAAAACTCGTTCAACATTCTGGCCAATCACAACGCAAGTGTTGTTCTCACAGCCAATCAACTCCAAATTCAGACCGATCGTAATTTGGCTGACGTGAGTTTTCCCGCCACTTTGCATTCCGCGCCTGGAACTGCTTGCATGTTTTCCCGCGCTTTGCACTGTTTGCATGCTTCCCGACGTTTGGTATCGCTGACATGTTTTCCCGCGCTTCGAGTACTGATTGTTTTAAACTGCATGGTCTTTACGCAACTTTACCTTTAAATTTCAAGTTTTATAGTTAATGTTAATGATTTCTAATTTGAACGCTCATGTAATGGTTTAGAAAAATTATACTGCTCTGGCATATAAGTTATCTTTTCAGTTACCGGTTTACATAACAGAGATTTCTCCGTGACATTTCTTTGAAAAGTCTTCGAATTTCCGCTCTGGAAAAGAATACAAACCATATTGCTGCCCTGCTGACTGGTTCAAGTTTCTGTAAGGATGGTTTAAATTCACAAGTTTTAAGATACTAAAGCTTGTTTTGTTTTCAGGGTGATTCCAGACGAACGAATCCGCGATTCAGTGAAGTCATGTTGTCAGTTGTCTCCTGATGGGCCAGTGCAGGAAGGTGACAGAGACAAACTGGCTTCTGTGGCCCAACCAGAGTGGTCATGCTGGAAGACTGGGGTTGAACTGTCGTGTTTTGGTGTAAAGTTGCTCAGGATATGTGAGCTAGAAGGAAGACCTTTTTATGGCGCACCAGGTATATCTGCATACAGTTGGTCGTGAGACTTGCTCCTCTCGTATAATTTTGTTGGTATTTCATAATGCGCTTGTAGTCAGATACTATGTTCTTTTCGATAGACTGTGAGAACGGTAAGAGAACGTCAACAAACAGTAGCAGAACAGTGACTGTGCACGTGCGTTGTAACTTTGCGGTTTTCTGTAAAACAACAACGTTAAAATGACAAACTTCTGGGTATTTTGGAGAAAGCAAAAGATTGTTGCTAATTTTTTGTATTTCGTTTTGGAACTGAAACCTGTCATTACATGTTTATTTTGACAAAGTTTTGAGACCGATATGAACACGGAACAGGTCTAGATAATTGCGATGTTCGAAGATAAAATATAAATTTATTTTTAACTGGGCGTCGTCCTCGGTGTTACAATGTTCATCCTATTAAAAAAAATGTTCCAAAAACTGTATAATAAAAAAATTACAGCTATGGTAACTTAAAAATCATTTAGAACCTTCCTTTGCTCATGCGCGTTGTTAGATTGCGTGAAACCTTGCAGAGATTATGAGAGGGTAGTACGAAATGTATGAAAAACATACTTCTGTTTCAGATGACATCGCTAATCCATTACACTACAGACGTGAGGTACACGACACCACTCGGTATTCCACCATTGAGGTTATCACACCATGCGTCCGTATCAGTATGGAGAAGTTTGAACAGCGGAAGAAACTGTCTTCAAAAAGAACGAACCGAGGAAGGTCAGAAGAAGGTCAGTGCTCACAACGACAAGAACTTTAGTAAGGGGAGCCCCTTGGGTACAACGTCCCTCGTCAATATTTTTTGAGATATAAGTAAAAATTGATTTGTGTAAGAAGCCACCTTGCACCGCTTTTTCGCTTCAATCTCGCGAAGACGTTTAAAAAGGGATAACAAACACGCTGTAACAATTTTCTTGACAGCCGATCCAAATATTAAAAGAAACTTTGACAGCATATTGTACATGATGATCAGGAAACTCAGGAAACATTGTTTTCTTTCCTGGCAAGAAATTTCCAGAATAACACCTTGATTTTGTGAATTGTCTTCGCAGACCGACGCGAGGGTTCTAAGTTGATCGGTTTTAAAGTGAAGTCCGTCTCCGAGTGTAGTGCCCAGACTGCCGCTCGGCTGATCGCTATAACTGTGGAACACATGGACACACTCATCACTGACTGGTTCCCAGGTCTTGACGCCATCACGGTGCATGGATATCGCCTGGTTACCAGGATTATCCCATGCCCCAAGTGTATCATGGCGGTGTGTGGAGTTGAGAGCGAGAAAAATGAAAAGGAAAGAGTAAGTGCTGCGATAGATGTTCTGATCTCATCTTCTGGAGCAGATAGCGGGATTAATCTGTCCATGACTGATGGCAGCAGTACGAGTGCGTCGCCATGGCCGAGCCCTGTACATGTTTCAAGAAAACCTGGAGGTAATGGAGAAGGTATGCAGCTCCCTAAAGACTTCATGTGCGCTTTCAATTCAACTAGAAATTGAGGAACTTTGGAAAAGGGGCCGGGCAAATAGTACGGAAATTTCCTGGCAAACTTTCCGGAAAATCCGAAAATTATTGATCCTCCGGAACGCGAATCATTCAACCGAAAATTGAGGAAATTCCAGGAGGAAAATCAATTGAAACGGAAATTCCCGGTTAGGAATTTTCGAAAATTTGAGTATACCTCGTGCGGTTGTCCTTTTTCCCCGGAAATTCTCGAAAAGCTGTTCTGTTCGCCTTTGAAAATTTCTGGGTATCCAAACCGGATTGTTTTGACTTGGAAAGAGGAAAGAGGGAGTCCTTATGGACACAGCTATGGGGAGAAGAAAGTCCCTAACATAATAATATTATATCCCAGGGAGGAGGAAAGAAGAGAATTCATAGCGGTATGATTTTACACTGGGTGGAAGGAGAGAATATGGTTTCTTTACCTCTAGCCCGTGTAGTGGTGTCGGAGGAGATGAAGGTAACTCATAATATCGAGTCCAGATCTCCCACGGAAAAAGAACACTGTTTTTTCGCGGGACACAGCGGGTAATTCCGCACATTATTTGGTTCATCTTGTCCGCTGACGGAGCTAACCATGAGATAGCAAAAATTTTGAAATGTTTTACTCACGGAGCTAGCCATACAATAGCAAAAATCAAATCTTTGCAATGTTAGTTGTGTATTAAGTATGAACGATTCATCTGTGTTGTTTCCAGTGAACCCAGCTTTGCAGACCACTGGCTCTTCTGACGTGCCGTATGTACTTAGCCATGGTTCTCCCCAGACCCCTTCACGTGAACGTTTCTTGTCGGAGCCTGAGAGATTTACGTTCGGATCCGTGAGTACCGAGCGGGAGACTGAGGAGGAGAGTTCGAGTTGCTTTGACTACACTTCTGACCAGGTGAGGCAATTTCTTCATCGGCACGCATGCTTTGAATTTTCTTCGACCGAAAAAGAAGCAGAGAGATTGTAAACTCGTATCGAAATCTCTAGATTAAATCGCAATTGAAGATTGATTTCGAATTCTCCAGTTTTGTCTGATGCGCATGCGTAATCTAAGGACTAATCATGTAAACTTATCTTATTGTCCCATATGTCTTGTCACATCACTTTCAACATACCGCCGAACTTCGTCGTTGCTATAGTAACTCTGGTTTTCCTTCAACACGTATAAATCTTTCGCCTTTTACTAAAGATTTCCGTGGAGGAGAACAACTGAATGAGTCTATAGACTAATTTTTCGTCGCCCTCCCTGTCGGCGGGGCACCCAAAAACTGTGAAAAATGATATTATATGTCAACATACCCGGTGCTAACCAAACATCGTGTTGAAATGCCCCGTAGAGAAAGATTGGTTAGAAAAACTGTTTTCCTACTGCGCCAAGGTGACGCAAAAAAATCTTAGAGTATTCAAGATGCACGCTTCGAGCATTCAAGAGTATTCAAGCATGTGAACGTCAATTATTCAAGTTGAATCTGGGCACTAGAATCCTAGCACATTCCGGAGAGGCGCAAGAAAAACGTGACGTAAACCTGGAGTATTCAAGCGTGTTTAAGGAGTAGACGCGAGGTATTCAAGGTGAATTCGGAAAAACAGGCCGGACTCAAATAGGATATCCCTTGTGTATTTCGAGTCAGGCGTCCTTGAATACGCGACCTGCGCCGCCGATCCGTATTCGGGCGAATTTGGGCCAGAATATCTGGCATTTTACGCAGTGCCCCTTGCCTACAGTTTTTCCCGTCCTGTCACGGTTCTGGAATATGTTGTCTGGCTGAACACGAATAGTTTTTCATCTAGAGCACAGACAGTCGTGGAAGTGAAAGCAGCCATTCATTCTCCCCAGAGAGGGGTGGCAGGGGAAGGAAAGGCCGCAAGACGCGAGGGAGTACCGACAGTGAGGAGGGTGACGTGGCGGACATGAATACCAAAACCAAGAAATCTGCTCAGGATAAGAAAAGTCAGGAGGAACCTAAGAAAGGTACGTACACGAGCAAGATGGTGACAGTCACATACGTTATAAACATGCATGATCTCGGATATCACAATTGCAAATTTCCGTCGTCTTAGAAGCGGAATTTTTCCTGTTTTGAAAGCAAGGTGCCTTGTTAAGAGAGTCAAGTATTGTTTTATTGTTATTATTGTTATGTTTAGAGTAACAGGGCAGGAAAAGGTCAGACAAAGACAACGGTTTTTTTGTTTAAGACAGAAAAAAGTGTTATTATGGTCAATGAAAATTCAGTGCTCTCCGCGAAAGAAATTAAAGCAATGTTTTTCAGCGCAATGGGGCTGTGTTGATCTTGCTTTTATGTTCTTAAGATTCATTTATACCTACGATTTGTCGGTCCCATTTGCCGACCACGACAATTCACGAACCTCACCGGCGCCTGTGAATAGCGATGCGCCCGTCTGACTAAACTCCGACTGACAAGTCGGCCCGATCATTTATTTCTGCTTTAGCCCCTGCCGTTTTAATTTGTGAAAACTCATTATATCCCGTTGAGTGGCAAAGCGTAAAATAAAACGTGAACGAGAAGTGGCACCGCGAAATTTTTTAGGGAGGCGCGGTGGCCTCATGGTTAGTGCGGTCGACTCGGGACGGAGCGGTCCGGGCTTGAGCCCTGGCCGGGGACATTGTGTTGTGTTCTTGAGCAAGACACTTAACTCTCACAGTGCCTCTCTCTGCCCATGTGTATAAATGGGTACCGGCCAACTGGGTGGTAACCCTGTGATGGACTAGCATCCCATCCAGGGGGAGTAGAAATACTCCTTGGTCGCTTTGTGCTACAGAAACCGGGATAAGTTTGGCTCGTATGTAGACTTTACCTTTACCGACGAGTTTCCAGCCAAAGAACTGCGGCGATAATTCAATCGTCCGTTGTCACTGAGTGAGTTCCTGTGATAAGTTTTTCTTCGTTTTAATTCCTCAGGAAGCACAGACAGCACGGAGAGTTTTAAACGTGGATCCAGTAAGTATGGTTCTTTCAGAAAGCGACCGACCAAGGATGACACGGTGATTTATTCATTTGAGTTTGAAGAATGTGTGCTGGCTGCCTACAATTCTGAACCCGTGGAATGCACCGTACATGGTCAGCTGGAGCTCAAAGAACTTGCCCCGGATGCTGTAAGAGTTTAAAACCTTTAAGCTTTCACCCCCTACCGCCAAAGATATATATCCGACTTTAACCTTGTATGTCGTTGTTTTTGCCTTATTGTTAACGTTTTTCCAGCTCAGTTTTTAACAATAGTACCCTTCAGTGCGTACGAACAATAGCACCAAAGCGAGGTTGAGGTGGACATTTTCATACATTTGCTGTACTTTTGTCCACCCTGACCTCGATTCGGCGCCATTGTTTATTGGAATACAGGAAAGGTCCATTTCAGCAAGCAGAAATTGGATCACATGTGGCTATAATGGATTTCAATTGACTTTCAGTGAGCTATGTGCTACTTTTGTTTTTGAGGTCATAATCGGTTTTTCATATCATGGAGTGTGCTGTAGCCAATCGGAATTCTGTTCTCATTCAATCAACTACAAAACCCGTACAAATCCTGATTTGGCTTGCATAACTTTTCCCGCGCTTGCCAACGGTGACATATTTTCCCACGCTTACCAGCGGCGACGCGTTTTCCCGCGCTTACCAGCGGCGGCACGTTTTCCCGCACTTGCAAAAGGCTACCAGCATGACTAGTGTTTCCTTCAAGTTCTGATTGGTCAATCACGCTATTTCGCGGTGTAGTTATCAGCGTTATGGTCACTTTGTTTTACGACGTTGATATCAAAAAGGGCATTGATCAAGAAATACATAATTTTTTTTATGAGAACGAGAATGGAAGTGTGGAGCACAGAGAAATACTTAGATCTAGAGATGTATGGACTTCTTCGAAACCTTGACTGGTGTTTCCTTTTACTCTACAAGAGAGAACCAAAACTGACGGGTTATTTTGCGTTAACGAAAACACAGCCAGCGTGTCTGTTGTGCTGAAGAGCATATGTGCTTTTAGGTTTTAATTTTGATTTTCGTCTTCCTCAGATGTTTGAAGACATCGCTCCCAACATGAACATTCAAGCGTCCGACATAACACGAGGTAAATTTCTGGGCAAAGGAACGTTCGGCTCAGTTTTCCGCGGGGAACTGAAGCAGACATCCGGGGACTCAATAACTATCGCCATGAAGATGCCGCTGAACAATGAAGTGGGTGACGAGGCGCGACCGGAAGAAGTACAAATGGCTGCAGCAGCCAGGAGAGCTTTGAAAGAAAATCCAACTATGGCACTGAACGACGCGTATAGGTGAGAAAACGCGTGGTATTGTCTGATTTTTTTTTTTTTTTGAGCAATGATATTACTCCTTGGGTGCGATCGTGAATCTCTGACTGGGAAATTAGTCATCAATTTGATCAATTTGAATCAATCAATCTGTGCGGGTGAATGAAGTGACTGTCTGTCTGTCTGTCTATCTGTCTGACTCGCAGACTAATGGTTGAGTGTCTGATTGACTGATTGATTGGTTGATTGATTGATTGATTGATGGATGGATGGATTCAATGATTGATTGACTGACTGAATGATTGATGATTGATTGATTGAGTGAGTATGTGAGTGAGCGAGCGAGTGAGTGATTGATTGATTGATTGATTGATTGACTGACTGAATGATTGACTGCATGATGCACTGATTAATTTTAAAGGACTGTACGTCAGGAGATGTCCATCCTTCTTCCCTTGAGGCATCAGAATATCGTCTCGTTGTTAGGTTACTGTCTAAACCCGTTCTGCATGGTCTTGGAATTCGCACCGCAAGGGGCCTTGGACCGAATCCTCGCCAGCTACAAGAGAGCTGGAGTTCGCCTTAATGCCTACGTCATTCAGAAATGTATCGTGCAGGTATGGACTGTTATGTTCAATAACCTGGAATTGTCCAGTGGCTTAAATCAAAGCCAAAATACACAAATGTTGGCCACAGAACTAATGTTTCAAGAATGTAACAGACAGTGCTGCTTCTTAAACATATTCTGAACTGCATGGATTTTAGGCAAAAGAGGATTTTAAGTTATATTTTGTACTTTTTATTCCTCTCTCTGACGTCTGAAATTTTCAAATGCATAACTTGTTTTAATAATGACTTGCTTTCCGTGTTTCAAGCTTAGAACTATTGATAACCGATATAGGCTGCATAGCGCCGACTGAGAGCAAAAATCATGTCCCTAAGCTTTGACCAACTTTTGTGCGCTTAGAAAGGAAACGACTGCTGACACAGGCTAGCGGTCGATTTTGTCGCACAGTAGATAGTTGTAGTCTATGCTCTTGTTGATTATACAAGAAGGGCCTCCATGGAGTAAGGCTGTCGCTGGTCGGGGTGTCACCCTCTTCCATCTATAGAGAACGTTTTTCGTACAGTTCATTATAACTAAGAGACCCGGGGACTAAGGTGACCCTGGACGTAGGCGCTTGTTGAAACTAGGGTGACCGTAAGGGGTGGGGGCACCTTTTTCTATGTAAACACTTTGGAGATGTTTGGCTCACCTACCAGGGACAAGTTGAAATATATAGATCTCGAGCGAAATCAGGAAGGCTAATTTGTGGCTCGGTCAGGGAGGGACACTTTTTGATGTCAACGATAGGTAAAAAGATGGCACGTGGAAAGAGAGATAGATTAACCCTCCCAGCAAGGACAACTGTTCAGTTCTCCATAAAAACAGACCCTGAGTTTTCTTTTTCTCCCATATCTAGTGCGCTTCAGCCTTGAAGTACTTACACCGTCATCACATCATCTATCGAGACCTCAAGTCAGAAAACATCTTAGTGTGGCAGTTCCCAGCTCCCACCGGCCCATCTCAATCCACTCACCAAGTCACTATCAAACTTGCTGACTACGGTATCAGCCGGTCAGCGGCACTGGCAGGAATGAAGGGCCTGGGAGGAACTCCCGGGTTTATGGCTCCCGAGATTGAAAAGTATGTCGGGAAGGAGTTGTATACGGACAAGGTGGACTCTTTTTCGTTTGGAATGTACATTTATGAGCTGGTGACGCTGCATCAGCCCTTCAATGACCTCAACCCAGCACAGGTCAAACAGCTAATTGTGGAAGGTCACCGACCGCCATTAACTGCCAAGGTTTGTGATAGACTTTTGCTTTTAGTGATTTGATGTAACGCTTGTTATAGGATAGACTACGAGTAGTTCCTCTTTCGCTTAGTCCGTAGTGCGTGACGCGAAAGAAAACCGCGAGAAAAATAATGGCCGCGGGAAAGTCTGGGGGCGAGGAGCGCTCCTCGCCCCCAGGCTTTCGCGCGGCCATTATTTTACCGAGATGATTTTTACGTGACTGCCTGGAAGTCAACGTAGTGTTTTTACTGCAACGTTGCCTCACTTTTGTTAATGAGCTCTTTCCTTTTCTAATTGACTAAGATATATCCTCTTTGCTGGTAGCCTTTTGCTAATAGGCGGATTCCTCTTCCCTCTGTTTCAGAACTATTTTTTTATGCGAAACGTTTCACCTAAAAGTGTGTTTTATTTTCTCGAAAATGGACGTCCGGGTGAAACACATTTTTGTGTAAAGGTTTTCACGCAAAGACTCGTTTTGAATCAGAGGTAAAAGGCAACTCGGACTTAACCTGTTGGTATATCAAAGGTTCTGCTTAAGGTCTCGTTTCCAAACAGAGGCATAGAATGCTACTCGTGTTACATAAAAGTACCCACCTGACTAGGCTAACAAACTATCCAACTAATACGAAGGTGATGAACTGTTTTAGGATAAGAAAGCTCCAGTGTTTGTTCTTGATCTGATGGCATGGTGCTGGCAACATGATGCGGACAAGAGGCCGCCATCCCATCACATCTCGCTACTGGCTTCAGCTACTGAATTTCCACGCCTCTCTGACGTCATTACCTTCGACAAGCAGGTCAGCTAAACGGCAACAGCAACAACAACAGCCTTTATTTGTTTTCATTCTTACATAAAACGCACATTTCATGGAGAGACATTTGAGAACACTTGAGAAATGAAGAAAACACTCGCCTACGGCTCGTGTTTTCTTCATTTCCCTCGTGTTCTAAATGTCCGTCGTGTTTTATCACAGTGTAATACACGGTTTAGGCTTCTTTATTTGTTAGATAAACTGAAATAGAGGCCGTTGACTTAAACACAAACTACCTACCCAACACACACACAGCACTCGTACAGCCGGTATCATAGATACACTGACTCGGCGAGACGTACTTCTAATTTCTCCCAATAGTCTGCCGGTAATGCAAAGAGGAAGCAAGGAATCTTCCACTAGTTTTTTTCCTTCACAAAATGTGTTCCTTTTGTCGTTAGCAATGCCCAGGCAGTATGGTTTCATCGCCATATTGCTTTTTTCTGTACTTGAAATGGATCAGTGATCGTATTTTTCACACCGTGTAACGATTTTGTTTTCCCTTTCTTGGTTGTCTTTAGCTGGGGTTGAACTGCGCAGTGACAGCTGGGTCACGTGTCAGTCAAAGCCGCGGGGCGGATGACAGGGCCAGCGTGGGCTCAGAGGTTTGGCTCTGTCGGAGCGAGCTGAATGCTGGGATAGGCACCGGAAAAATTAGCGTCGTAGGGTACAGCCGCGGGCGGTGTTATCACAAAAAGGTAAGTAAATTGAACTTTTTTCGAGACTTTTACGTCTCTCTATTAGACTAAAATAATACTGGACGGCTTTGCTTTTATTTCAGATCAGTTTTCGTCATACTCTTAAATTTATAAACTCTAAAAGTACTATATTATCTATCTTTGTAGTAGTAAATGGTACCACAAGCGTGCACACTGTCTTTCAAGATTTCGTTCAAAAACAACAAACAATAACAATAGGACAGCTTTCCTTTTGAGGTTGACACTGAGGTTTTTCACGTGAATGTACTGCTCAATAACTCAGTTTCATGAATAGGTCACGCACTAGGGTTTTGTCCACAGACTCAAAAGTTAGAACCACTTGGTACAGAATAAGAAACAGGACACGTTAAATGTAATAGTCATAAAGCGGGTTTCACTAATTTACATGTGTTTGGTTTTGCACTGATTACTACGATACACGATTAGCTTTAAAAAGTCGCGCCACTTTGTCATTCAATCAGAAGTAAAACCAAACCCACTCTTGAGTGACTCGAAAACGTTTTACATAGTAATTGCAGAAATTCTTGCTCGCTCATTGGCTAATTTTCATTGTCAATAAGCGGACAGACACATGAATTTCTCACGTTTCGACTTTTTGTTATTGTAAAAAAAGCAAATTGACCTCAGTTGTTCATGCGTCTGTCCCGTCATAACATTGTCAAAGTAATTTGCGGATCCACAGCTACTTTGACAATGTTATGACGAAATTCATGATCAATAACAGGACAGACGCATGAAAAACTGTTGTCAATTTGTTAATTCGCGCTTCGTGTCAACTACATGTATCTTCGTGCTGTGATTGGTGACTGGATTGTCTCTGTCTTTTGTGACTGGGCCAGAGTGATTACTGGTTTTGGTTTTACGATACTCAATTGAAAAGAACTCTGCTACATAACGTTCACTTGAATGATAACACACGGGTCCAGCCACAAGCTTCACCTCCTATGTTCTTTTAATTTCAAATCTGAATCTTCTTTGTTCCTCAGGAGTTTTCTGTTGGCAAGCCCTGCATCCGGGTTGCTTGCAGTGTGGGAAGCACGGTGTGGCTGGGGACAGAGTCAGGAACGCTCCACGTTTTTTGTGCAATGACGTACAAACAGCTCTGCAAAGGATCGATCCGGTCCAACAGGTTTCTGAATCATATCTATTTACTTTAAATTAAGCGTCAAAGTGATCATCTTGTCGAAAAAATGCCAGAAATGCAAATCGAGATTCCTGGATCAGAACTTGGCCTGGATTAATGCTCACTTTACTCTCACAGTGCCTCTCTCCACCCAGGTTTATAAATAGGTACCAGCAGATTACTACGGCAACCTGAGAAGAGTAACCTCCGATGGACTAGTATCGGATCCAGGGGGAGTGGCAATTCGGATCCTCGTAGGGTTGGAACAGACTTGAACCTTTTTTGTGCTCTGATAAAAAATTAAAATATATATTTTAAAACCCAACAACAGCATGCTTTTAATTTTAGCAAATCAGAGGAGGGGCAATACCCAGGCGATGTTCTAAAATAGAAAAGTAAACCGAGGTGTTTTGTTTTCTAATAAACGCACTTGTCGTTGTATGGAAACGTTACTCTTCAAAATATCCCAGGCTCACCCTGTATGCATTTTGCTTAGGTACATCTTGAGCATGATCCATGTGCCGCGAGCCAACTGGGTTCTAGTGGCGTTGGCGGATGGTTCTGTTTTGGCGTACAATGACAACATCTCTAATCACTATCATTACTCCGACTTGGCGGGGCAGACTCCAGTTCACGAGCTCCTGCCCAACCGGGTGTACACCGGCAACGGAATCCCCATTCATTGTATGACAGCTCTGCTGTTGAAGAAACCCCAGGGAAATGAAACCCCGCCGGAGGCTGCGGGGGACTCATCGGAGGACTCTGATGATCGGAACAGTCCGTGCGACGAGTACGTGTGCGAAGTTTGGTGCGGACAAGAGAGAGGAAGAATAACAATTCTTGATGGTGAAGAGCTCCAGCAGATTTGCACCAAATCAGCTGAGGACAGTGAGCCGGACGCTTCCTCGCAAAGAGAACACAGCGTGTCACATCTTGAGACTTGTCAGACTACCGGGACTAGCATCAGCGGAGATGATCCCGTCGGTAGGTCCGTGTGGGTGGCTTTGTTCCCCGCCACTCGTGTGTTCCGGTGGGATGCCCTGGAGAAGAAGATTGTACGCAGTGTGGATTGCTCACAACATCCACCAAGATTTGAAGGTAGCAACCTAATTTCTGATCTCAATCTCTACTCTTATCCCTTCTCTACCCCCGCCTTCTTTTACTTCCTCGTTTTCCCTCCCTTCGTTTCTCCAAGGAAGTTTGCCCATGACTGAAGATTAAAAAAAACATCCCTTCATGATCTCTTCACCTTCCAATTTTAGTGGTACTAAGAGACTCGAATGTTATCCCTCTACGATGTGACAAAAATGCTAAGGGTGGTAGTGTGAAGTTTTGAGCTACATTCTCATGAAGGGAAGCACCAACACTAACTCTCATGTCACGCTAACGATAGCGCGAGAGAGCGAGATTAGCCGCCGGCCAGACGAGACGCCACCCTCGCAAGCGGGTTTGATTGTTTGCATTCTTTCTATTAATTCCGTGAGAGGTTAACTGTTTTGCTTTCTTTGGAGGTCCAAAAGGCAAAGTGCCTGTGAGGAGAGGAGCGGATCCGAATCCTTTGAGTGGTGAGCATGCGTGACAAACAACGAAGAGCAAACCTCGTTCCCAGTGTTTCTCTTCTTGCCGCCCCGAAAGAAGAGAGGCCCTGGGATTGAGGTTGATGAAGAGCTCTTTCTGTGATAACTTGCAGCTGAATTTGGATAACTACCAACATCAAGCGAACTAACAAATACGTGCACTTTCCTCTTCCATCTTTTAGTGAAAAAGAGTCGTGTGATATGTTGCGAATACGTGAAAAAAAAAACAATAGGTCTTTTAAAATGTTGCGATGGTTAGACTGCTGGCAACATTGAGATGACGTCCGTAACACTTTGGGAAAATAAAAAATGTTTTGACCGAAAAGGACAATGAAAAAAAGTACGATGGTGTTTCGTAGCCTGAATTTCAACCTTCTCTTCGAGCCACACACTCCCTAAGAGACTCCTGGAAAATGTGCCTTCGCTCTGACCACAACGACGTCATGGTGCCCGGCGACAAGATTGTTGTCAGACTTTTTGTCAAGACCATTCAGTTTATGAGAGAAATATCACTTATAAAGAATAAATGGAGTGTGCGACTCGAGGAGAGGGCTGAAAATTAGCGAGGTGTGTCTATTAAGTAAGCTTAACAGTGGACATTGTTCAAAGCCAGGCTGCTTTCAATACCTTGTTGAACAGTCCCTGGTATTTCGTTTTTATATTTACTTTACTTTTTTTTTCCACAAGCATCCCGCGCCCAAGTGAACTCCCTCCTTGCGGTGGACAAAGAACTGTACATTGGTACAAGCTTTGGGTGTATTCTCGTCTGCAATAACCTGTCCCTTATGGTTTACACAATTATACGCTGCCATGACGAGTCGGTCAGACACCTTCTGCCTTTGGTAACCACCCCTGTAATCACTTCGCACTCGGCGAGCGAACAGACAAAGGCACTGGTGCTAAGTTGCGGACGAGGTTACCGCAGTCTTGGCGCCAGTCTCTACGGTCACACCTCGTACCCAAGTCGACGGAGGGGAAATACTACCTTGAAGAAAGAGTCCGTTTGTTTGGTGTGGCTTGCGGACGTTTGGGAAAGTTGATGTAGGAGAAATACCGTAGAAATAAACATAAACCCGTGCTAAATAGTAGAAAATGTACGACAATGAATGTGAACCATTTCGCATTCTATATGCCTCGAAATCAAGCAGTGTTGCAACAGACACAGATGAGGGACGGCCATTATTTTTTGAGGGGGGGGNTTGGGCAATTTCCAAAAAAATATCGTGCATGGGGGAAAAATCGAGCAAGTGCTTCCTACATACTATCCAGGTCCTGTGTGTTACTTTAAAAGATATTCTTGTATGCACGAGCTATTGCCCACCAAAGAAAATCATTCTCAACATAAAGGTGAGAAAAATATTTCACGGCCCCAAAAATTGCCCAACAACCCCCTCCCCCACTCCCTCAAAAATATAATTGTATGTCCCTAAGTGAAGCTGCATCCCGTCGCACACACATATAAAGAAACTTTACGTGAATATGAAATCAGTGTCTGTAAGACTCTAGGATTGAACAGTAATCATGCTGAAGTTAACTCAGACATCAAATTGATATTTAATATATATTTTTTCATTGCCTTTTCAAATTACCGTTTACAGCACTTTCTTGTTTGTCAGGAATGTGTTTATAAAAGTATTCCTGTTACTTATTTGTTCTGTTGGTCTTTCAATACATCTCAGTTGTCGAGCATTGATCCAGCGTGGTATTCAGTAGTAATGGTTTATTTGCTGAATCTTAAAGAAGAATTTGAACCAAATTGTTAGTCAGTATATAGCGGCCCTACTGAAGGGCCATAGAATATCTGTGAAAACGTAATAAATTTACTCCAGATAAGAAACCATATACAATATAATCCCAACTAAATATAATATAGGTAATGAGTTCAAAATGTGGTAACTATAGTTGAACCTACGCTGGTCATTGGTCAGTAGTTTACCGAATCAAACAGTAGTAGAATGAAAGAAAAGCTCAGTCATGGAATGCACGTGTGTACCACGCGTGGTTCACTCGTGATGTAGGCGTGGACTAGATTATAAGAACGTATGAAAATCGCTGCAATTTGGAATGAATAGAACAATTTAATGGAATTTACCTCAAAGATTAATGTTTCAGCTCTTCATTACTGAAAGGATTAAAAGGTTGGCTGGTTTGCAAAATCGCCGCTGTTAATGCCTTTTTAGATTAGGTTTAAAATCACATTCAAAATGCGGTTAATATTTTTCAAATCTTCGATCAATTGATGCCTTAAGTCATATTTTTTACTTCGTTTTTGCCATAGATCTTCTGAAGGAAGAGATATTTTTAACAAGATTATTAAGACTTTTTTTATTTCCATCAACGTCGTTTTTCTGTTATTTTAGTTTATAACATTCTTTTTAATTTATTACGTTCAGCTGGTGACAGGAGATTATGGAGAGAAATGCTATGAAATAAAATACTACAGAATTAAAAATATATATATTGTCATTGCTGTAAATACTTAATCCTTTAGGTTCCTAGTGTAGTAAAGGGCGGTAACAATGCTCCGTCAGCGGGCTCTGTTTGGTGCCTTCTCAGCTTTGTTCCAGGTGATTTTGGCCATCTTCATGTCTTCTTCAGTCGACTTTCTCCATGTCTTAACTGGTCTTCCCACCTTCCTTTCGCCCTGCGTATTCAACTTCAAGGCCTGCTTAGTCGTGTCAGCGGCTCGTTTTCGCAGCGTGTGGCCTATCCAAGACCATTTTCGTCTTGCTATCTCAGTTGATATGTGCTCTTGTCCTTTCCTGCTTCAAACTTCTCCAAAGTACCGTCCACACTAATTCATTTACAGAAGTCCCAGTTTTCGTTTCAGGCCGAAAACAAAGCAAAACTGATATTGCTGTTTATACTGTCGTAAACAAGAGAGGATGAGGGTAAGAGAGGTTTAAACCCCCTTATAGACCTTATTGGTACTCTCCTCAAGTTATTTTCAGATCACTCCTAATTTCGGAAATCTCAGAAGGGTCTACAAATAGCCAATCCTATGACGCGATTTTGCTCACGTGGTCAGCCCAAGCGGCTTTTCACGCTTATTCATACTCCAATTAAACATCCTTGTAACGCGCGTGGTAACATTATTCGCGAACTAAGTAACATACCTTATTACATGAAATTTTGGTGACACTTGAATTTAGCGATTTTTAGAAAAATCGCTAAATTAAAAAATGCACTAAAATTTAGTGTCGCTAAATTTAAATCGGCGCTAAATTAAAGTTAGTGCAAATAGTTGTCATGATTGAAATATGTCACGCCTTGCATATTTCCCGCCTGTTTCCTTGACGCATTACCGTGTTTGTATATCCAGTGTTTTTTTACGAAATGTAAAATTCTGTTTGTGTTTAGGTATATATACAGGAGTAACCAACGACACTTACACTGGAAATTTAAGATGTGACTTCCCAAGCACTAATTCTGTGCTCCCACGTCAATTACCATTAATAATTA